GCATGGATGCTGATCGGATGCAGTCGAACATGAACGTTGTTTGGGCGTGGATGCTCTGGTCATCGGATGCTTTGATCATCGGATGCAGTCGAACGTGAACGCTATTCTGGTTTGGGCATGGCAGTCGAACATGATGCTTATTATGCTTGAGGTGCTCGGGTGTACACGAGGGGCTGTTGCCTTACTGAGTATTACTCCACTGCGCACACATCTGGCTGCTGCTGCTGCTACTACTACCTACGACGACTACTACGACGACGACGACTACTACTACTAGTAGGCGGGTGCCCCTCACAGGACCCACCCGAAATGCATGCGCAGCATCGCTTGAAGATTTTCAAGTGCTGAAAGTGCTGGCAAGGGTAGAGAACTTGGCATTACGGCACGAACGCGCTGGAGTCACACATTACCATTTTCGGTGCTCAAATCTGAGCACCGAAATGAGGTTTCGGGGGTTTAACTGGAGTTTTGCGGTCTACCGCGACGGGCTTTTTTTCACTTTTAGGCGTCGCAGTGGCAGAGGACGTCACCCACCATCTGCCACAAGCCTTGCTGAGCATTCCAGTGCTTCCACTGGAACTCCTTCACACGCTGCTCAATCGCATTCTGGCGCTGAGCCTGCACCCCATGGAGAGATTTCTATTTCTTCATCCATGTCCCCAGGCCATCCAGGCCTCAAGTTCCAGCAAGCACTTTCTTGAGACCCTTTGAGGGCAGCTTATGCTTGCACAACATTGTCGCTTGAGGACGCTCTCCTTTTGAGGGCGACTGTGGTTCACACCATCCATTCTGGCACCTACGGTTTCCTTTAAAGCTGGAGGGTAAGCTTAGTGCCAAATGGATTTAGGGTCAACGTGCTTGCTCGCAAAACGAACACACTCTGACTTGGTAAGTGGCGGTAGAGAAGCCTTAATAGCCTTACGCATGTCCGTCTACACACGCAGGAGCATGGCAGCGGCAGGAGCAAACACAGCGGCAAGAAACACTAAAAAGGTCTGTCCAGTAAGTATGTTATCGTATCGACGAAATTACCCACCCCCCACCCCAACCCCCAGCTGGGCCCTGCAAGTATGTGTTGCCGCACGAAATTACCCCCCAAACCCCAGCTGATCATCCTGAATGCACTAAAGAGGTGGGTCCAGTAAGGGGCAGAGGCCCACTATTACGACGACGACGACGACGACGACGACGACGACGACGACTACTACTACGACGACTACGACTACGACTACGACTATGACTAATACCACTCTACTACTATTATAAGACTACTACTACTACTACTACTACTAACTAACTAAGACTTACTACTTCTTCTTTTTGAAAACAGTTTCGGATTCGGGTTAATCAAATTCTCGGTATTTTTTGGAAGGATCGGGCTCAGGTTCGGTTTCAGGCTCAAACTCGCATTCTGGCACGGCAGCAACCTCGAGGGGGGAGGGGGGGAGGGGGGGGCAGGTTCGGGTTCGGGCTGGGGCTCGGGCTTGGGCTCGGACTCGCCCCCGTTCGGGCTGGGCTCGTAATGCTAGTGCGGGTGAAATTGGCTTTGCAGCATGTCTGCTGTTAGCCAGCAGTCAAACCCTTGCATTGAACACAGAATGACAACGCAGCGAACCATCTTCTCAGGTAAACGGATCGCACTGGCAATCATTTATTCCATTACACCATATCATATTCCATCCCTGGATTGTTTTTTGCACGTTTTTTTTGCTCCTCCCATCGGCGGGAGCTGCTCACTCTCTACCAGAGTTTCGTTAAGAGACTGCTGCGTGAAAAATGTACCGCCGGCATCAGAAGAAAACACTTGCTCTGGTAAAGCAGCAATTGGTCTTGAACAAACAAAATGACTGGAGGGATTTCACTAATGAATCCTCTATGAAAAGCCAGTACTAGAATTGCACGCGCGCGAATCATGCGAGCAACCCGCTAGATTGGGGAAACACTAACAGCACGGGCAAAAAGCCGGCGTAGCGTTTGCCGCGCAATGCAAGCACAAAAGGTACCTACGGTACCTCTCCATACCTGTCTTCGGATTTACAGTGAATTGCATGCCCGCCGTCAACACCGCAATGGAGACTTCACCAGGAAACTATTATTGTCGTGGGAAGTGCCGCGAGTTGCGGACATCGCCATCCACAAAACAAGAGATGCGATGCCCTTCACAAAACCCACAGACTACATTTTCAGAAACGCCCCCATGCCATGTTCCCCTGCGAACCGGATCCAAAATTGGAGCCTCACATTGTGCCAACGAAGATCCCGAGCAGATTCAGCTTTGACAATGGATTTTGTCCGTTCGACGAAAAAATTCCACCACAACGACTGCTTTTCGCTCCCTCAAATGAGAGCGCGGGCAAAACTGAGTTCATCTGGCGTTGGTTTCGTGAAGAATCGCTCTGTCGCTTCCTTTGCTATTGCAATGACATGAACCCTAAACAAAAGGCGCTTTTTCGTGGTTCCGCCAACACCAACAGCCCAGGCATTATTCATGTCAAACTACTGACAATCATGGAGAAATCGCGCATTCTTCAGCGGATTAAGCACAACTGAGCCCATGCAGTGTTCACCGCATCAAATGTGCCTCGTGTTTTTCAGGTGCGAAAGTTCCACATCCAGGGACCAGGATAATTCCAGGGCTCCTAGTCTTAGGCTGTCAGTGGACCATTTGGGGCGAGAGCTGTACTGATCTCCGTGGGTTGTGAGGGAATCGTTCCTCTTTACCATGTGAAAAAATACTACTAATTATTCAGGAGGTGTCCCCGCGAGCTTGTTGATTTGGCAGCCACTCACAGCTTCCGCTGCGCAACAGAGCTGACACGGCTACGCAAATCAATGGACATAGCCGTGGACATAGTGTCCGTATTGCCAGTGGTCAGTGTAGCGTAAGTTGTCCGTGGCAGCCTGCCGGCCAGCGTATGAGGAGAATCAATTGCCGGCAGATTCTGCCCAAGATAGCAGAACATAGTTCCTACATCATGGATGGAAGCGTGGGTGGATTCAAAATACCAACATTCTCCAGGATTTAGTTACCATCATAGTCCACTCTCAGAATGATCATCACTTGAAGTCCCAGTATTCAGACTGGAGGCGATGCAATAAGTGTCAGATCACGTATATTTTCAGAGAGTTCATGATAGCCGAAATTCAAAAACCACGCCAGCTGTGAAAGATGGTCGAAAAGCGGGAACTGCCTGGAGTCGGAGAACATGCCAGCGTCAGAAACAAAAAATTGCAAAATGCGTCAAAAACCTCTCCATAGCAAGAATTAACCATACAACAAGGGGCATGGGCAGCCTGCAACACTCGGGTGTATATTGGCATGCAAGTTTGAGGTTCTGAAGTTCCTTTCATATGGATACGTCGAGAACGAGGAACATTTGCTTCGAAAATAGTCATTTTTATCAAGAACGCGGATAACACGTCAGTAATGTCAGCCTGTATCCTCCTCGCTCCAGAATTCGATCCCAAACCGGCGCCAGAACCTTCTTCGAGCCTCTCCGACTTGGGCACAGATCATAGAAGACTCCAAAACTAAAGCTGTTGGGGATATTTAGACAAGGTGTCTTCTTTTTCAAGTTCCTCTGTTGGACAAACAGATAGGGAACGCAGGAAATCAGCGTGCTCCTTTAAAGTTTCCGATGACTTAAGCCGAAGTGATACTCAAAGTTTGCAACATCACAAATCCAATATTGTCATATGGGGAAGCGAGTGTCCTGTTGCTCCTAGGAAAACCCGCTTCGAACATATGACTTTCTCTGAAGCAAGATAATCAAAGGAAAATCTCCATGCATCCCATGATTTGTGAGATACAGGCAAGAAACCAGGCTTCTATGCTAAGACAGTTGAAGGTGAGAAGGGCTAGTTAATGGTAAAAAGACTGTTTGGGAAATTTCGGGTTCGGGCACCGAGACATGGCTTACTCACGCCCGAACTCCATGTACGTTCCAGGCTGCCCACTAGCAAAACCGGGCATTCATACAAGGATGCCCAGAACATTCACTGCGGAAATTGCTTGAGGACTGCAACTTCTATATACTGCGAGACAGCAAATTCATCGCCATTTGCTGTGTTTTCTAGAGTATCCTAGGGCACCATGGAGCACCCTAAGAACTCTGAGAGCAATCTACAGCAGAAATCTCTGAGAATAGAAGCTACGAGCAAGCTAACACAAGATCAAATCATGTTAGCAATCCACAAAAGTGTGTCCTGGGGTTGTGGGTGGGCCACGCCAAGTAGGGTCCAAGACACCTTAAGCTCTTGAAAACGATCACACAGAACTTTGCAAGTCGTAGGGCGTAGGGTGTTCCTCTGGTTTGTTTGCTTGTGTACATGTGCGCAACATGGAGATGTGTGATGGGCAGGCCAAGGCAGGCGGTGAGGATAAGGCAAGGAGAGGTACAGTAGCTGGTGGCCTGGCTCGGGCAGAACACACCCACACACCGTTCGAAATGGGCAGGTCAAGTGCTAGACCTATTGCACAGCGATTCCAGGCAACCTCATGTGCAGGTACCCGGGAACGAAAAACAGTGCGTCCGTCCTTGAGTCAAATGAGTATCCAAGTCATGTCCTCAAACCTCCATCTAGCATCCTAACATGATGAAAAGTTCTAGGGTTACAGGCTGAGCTTCATTGATGTATGTATTTGGTGCTGAGGGTTTGAGGAGCCATAATTGTACGGCCAAATCGACCACACATGTTACGAGATGCGCACTCCAATTACACAGTAAGAACATTTTCAGGCAGGCGAAAATCGACAGAGAATGATATTGCGGTCGTGGGGAGCGTTTCAGTGAGTAGATGCATGTTGCTAGCCTGTTATACGATTGCGTCTTGCAAGGTGTGTCCTCTTGCAGGCAAGGTCTCCAACTGGAAGGCTGTGGATCTATGCATTATGAGGTTGACATTCCGTTCCACAGCCTAGCATTTTGTCACAACAACTCGCATTGCCAACTTGGAGGTGGCAGGGTGGTGCAGCAATGCAATCCACATGAGGCTCGCGCCGTGTCTGATGCTGCGATCAAGCTATCGCTGCTGGTATCAAAGCACAAGCAAGAGATTGCCGCCTGGCACCAGGGAAGACATTTCTTGGGCAGATGCAACCAGGATCACCCAGGTCAGCCGCACCCCAGGTCCCTCGAATCGTTGGGGCGCAATGGATGGTGGCTTCACACACCTAGGAGCTGCACGTCCACTTGCTCAGACATAACTCCTGCTGAAGAACAGCTGAGCTTGCTGCGGAAATGGGAAGATCTCCATGCTGCAGCTGTTGGTCACGGCAATTGAGTTCCTCAGGCCATCTCAAAGCTGCCCCATTTAAGTGAAGCCATGCTAACCATCAGTGAGCCTGCCGACAATTTCATGGAAGCGTCGTGGAAAACTGGCCTGTATGGGAGGCAACTGACATCACGAAGGCCGAGTGTTGGAGGCAAAGGACCTTCATTGGCTCCCGACCAGCCCAGCAGCCCTGTATCTGCCAGCCGACTGGGGCAGTCCACGGGCAGAAAGGAACATCTCGCACAAGAGCCAAGGTCGGAAGCCGGCGGGCCATTGGAACGTCAAAGGCCAGCTGCTTGCCAGAGAGATCGGCGCTGAGGAGAAAATTGCAGGGCAGAGTGTCGGCGAAACATATATCGAATATCGGTGCCTCATGTCCTCGCAAGGTGGCCACTTTGGTGACCGTCTCTTCTCCCGTGTGAACACCTGTGTATACTGAAGCTCGACATGTAGCCTCTTTGAAGCGGAATGTATGGATGCAGCCATCCTCCGTCCCGACAGCTAGCCATAGCGGATGGGCCCCGGACATATCTACTGACGAGAACTTTGCACAAGTTAGTTTGGCCTTCTTTGCAGAAAGGGTCCTCCGAAGGACATAATGCCGGGTCTTCTCACTCATGATGGATAAGGTAGAATCACTGCATCCCACGGCAAGCCAGGCTGAGGATTCTTCGCCAGATATGCTCGAGACTGCCAAGCAGGTCACACCAGCAGAGGCCCGCAAGCTGCGACTTTCTAGGCACTCCAAATCAGCGCCACTATAGCAGCGAATCACGCCGTCCAAAGCACCGGTGTAAACGCAGTTCTCGGCTGGATGAATGGCAACCGCCGTAACTTGAAAGCTTGGCTGCGATGCAAGCACCTGGCATGTCCGGATAGCCTTGAGCCCACCACATGCCAAATCTATCAAGACCAAATGCGTCTTCGAGGAGAGAATCAATCTGTCAGTCTTCCAGCCAGCCCCTGAAACAAGTTGCGTCCTGAAGCGAGCTTCAGGCCAGCCGTCAAGCGTAGAGAAATCACTTTCTATAGTCTGGCCAGAGCTGAGCATTGTGCAGATTCCGTTTGCATGGAGTACTAGCAGAGACTCTCGCACTGGCAGGATACATGCTGTAGGAGAGGGCTGGAAAACCATCTTTCGAACAGCCCGACTGCCGTGGAAGAAGAAGATCTCGCCGGCACTGCCTCCAGCGACAAATCGGTCTCGTGCTACCCAAGAAGCGCAAACAACCATCTTTGGCGGCCCTTCGCAACCAAAAGCCCCTCGGCGACCATCAATTGCTGCGCTGAGGCGAGCTGAGCGGGCAGACTGCCAGAACTTCACGTGTTGCGCACCGTAGGTGGCAAACCTGAGTGGCAGCTCACTCCCTCCTGGTGCACTGGCCACACCGCAAATATGACCTCCTTTGAAGGCAGAGCAGACTGCCAAGGGGGCCCCATCCTTGCGGCCAGCGCGGAAGACACCGGCACGGGCTGCTGGCCAAATCGCCATCGTGCGATCGCGATCCGAGCCGATCGTCACAAGCACCTCACCGTCCTGAATGAAACTGATAGCCTCCACGTCAACTTCATGGAATGAAAAGGTTGCACAGACCTCGAGAGTCTCTGAGTCCCAGAGAAGAACTTCAGCCCATTTCGTGCCTGCTCTTTGCCCAGATGCTCCCAGCCTTTGCTGGAACGAGTGGGTCAGACAAGTCACCGCTTCTCGGTGATGAATAAAGCGCTGCTGCCTCGTATCTAAAGATATCTCCACAACCAGTCTCCCCGCTGCTATAGCGAATCGCTCTTCTGACAGGAAAGTCAAGCAGCTGGCCTCAAAACCAAGAACCTGGTATAGTTGCGGAGTCGTCTCCATGATGCCCCGCACTGTGAGAGGAGCTACTGCAATGATAACAGGTTGTCTGTGAAGATTTGTGGATCATGCACTTCTTTCTGACGGTACTACGCTGGGGTGCAGCGCAACGGACTGCATGATCAACTAACAAATTGACCGCACCCTAGTTGTAGTTGCCTACGCAAGCTATGATCTTTGCTTCGCGTGGGTCCGGATAAGTGTGCTTCCTCACACAGAGAGTGCCTCCTCACTCAGCGGTTACAAACGATACAAGAAATGGTCACACTTCCCCCTGCTACCAATTTTCTGGCTAGGCGGAACAATGATGTCTGTGTCAGGAAACTGGCATATGCGGCGAGCTGCCATATTGGTCAGAGTCACAGAGGGAACCTGGACTTCACGGAGGATGCTTTCCATGTGTGCCCCTGTCAGCTGCACCAGCCCTGCCTACCAAGTTCGCCGCGCTCGGTTCGGCCACTTCGAAGTGTACGAGGGCTCAAGCTGGGTGCGAGCGATGCACTGGGCGCCTGTGCCAAGCCAGTCACCAACATTTGAGCCATTCAAGCTACGCAATTGAGGGCAGCACTGGATCATGTTGGAGGCCTTTGCGCGCTTCTGCAAAAACGGTAGCCCGTTTGCACTCACAAAGAACTTCCAAGGCCTCGAAGGCCTGCAGACTTCTCCTGTCAGATTCTCCGGCTCAGGCTGCAGATGGTAAACTTGACCAAAGACGGAATAAGCATGTCAAGCAAGAAAGACAGAAGGAGGTTGTTTGCCAGCCGAGTCTCAAGATTCTTTCGCCAGATCCTCACAATGTTGACCAGCCAGCGTCGCCGGGCCTGCTGCAGAGCATCTGACGTCTCCACCTTCTTTAAAGCAGGTGGACACTCTGGGGGGTAGGTTTCCGGCACGCTCCAGAATCCAGGCACCACAAAATGCTCGAGGTGCAAGATGGGCTCTTCTGTACAAGACCTGCTTCCAGTTCAAAGAGCCCCTTCCGACGGCCACTCACTTGAGCACAAGCTCGCGCATCACGACAAGGAGTTGAGCGGGCTTCCCATGATGCACTCCCCTTCTTGCGGCAATCAGAGGACTCTAAAGACTCTCAAGGCACAAAGGTCAGAAGTGCTGTTATCGGCTAGCTACCATTACCATGTGGTGTCGATATCATCAAATATGAGACAGGCATCCAGGGCGCTTTCTACAACGTGCCTTGGCAGCCACAGCCTGGCAGAATCGTCAGTCCCCCAAGTAGTTGGGCTAAAGCACTTACAGCATGAGCAAAGGATGACTACTTTGAATCTACTTGGAGCATAAGAGTACAGGAAGAGACGTGCTTAGGAGGACCGTGTCTGTGGTGGCATCTTCTGGCCTGACTGCAAACGAGGCCAGCGATTACGCCACAAGCCTTGTCCCGGCCAGGGCAATCCACCGGAAGGGCTGCTAAGACTATCCTTTTCACTCCTTTTCATGTCTGTAACCAATGTTGTTTCTGCATGTTGAGAATGCCAAGCTGCTTCTGACTGCGGAGTTCCAGGACGTGCTGCTCGGAGCCCAGAGTCTAAACGCGAGTACCTAAAAGGCAGTTTGGATGCACCAAGGTCACAGAGGAGCTAGTTGGGCAGCTGCGCCTAGGCTTCGACACATCGGCTGGAGGAAGCCTTTCGACCACACTTTCTTGTTCAACCATTCAACCAAACGGAATTGCATGAGCACGCAATGAATCTGAGATAATCCAGCAATTGAAAGGAGCCAGGGCTTGGCTGGGAGGCTGGGAGAAGAAAGGTTGGTGACTGAACCACTCCAAATCGCACCGCAATTTAGCAGGTATTTTGCTCAGGCAGAAACTGAACTTCCAGCCCTACCATAACAGCGGGATGAGACGGGTGCAATGAACAATCAAAATCATCACATGAGCTCGAAGCAGCATGTAGGATAGCAATCATGTCATGCGACCATGAAAAAAATACTCGTCAAGCAGCGCAGCTGCAATCATGGTTGTCTCCGTGCCTGAGACGGATCCGTGAGACTGCAAGTCGAACCTTCCGGAGACAAAGTTATTGGAGTGGCGAGCTTATCTACCGGGCTGGTACATGCTAATACGTCGTAGGGAGCACCCTCCGGCGGACGAGGTTCTGCAGAAGAGCCATGCCCGCCCTCAACGCCTGTGCCGAGCTCCGTTCAATAGAAGATAGCTTCACCGACGCTTCGGTTGTGCAGCTGCATGCTGCATGGATACACCGACTGAGAGCTTCTCAGACAGGCCTGACCGTTTGATCGGCTTTTCCAACACGTTGGACCTTCGGACCAATGCAGAACATGATGGAACATACTGACGCTTCTTGCGCTAAGCTTTGGCTTGCTTCTCGCAGGCCTCCCGCCGAATCCATGGAATCCTGGCAGGGCAGTCTTTAGTGGTACATTCGGTCCCCCCGTTTGGCTTTTGGGCTCCACGCTCTCACCACACGGTAGAAGTCACGAAGTGAAAAATCCTGCTGTTGCCGGCAAGAGTTCTCGAGCTAAGTCTATGGTGCGTCCACCAAAAATCTGTTTCCGAGCGTCTGGCACCCCGGGGCAGGTTGTTTCGCAGAGCGGTGCGAAACTTGGCTGCCTTCATGGCAGACTAGATGGATACCGTTTGCCCAAGGCAGATCTGGCGTACTTACACTCTAGATGTCTGAGCAGCTGCTAGATAGGATGATTAAGTAAGACTGGTGTGTAACCCATGTTGTCCTACAAACCTGCTGTTTGTGCATTGGACATTTTCAACAGCAGCATCCGTTGTTTTTTCGCAACCGTCGGAGGCCATGTTTCGTGATAGCGCTGTCTGGTTTTGGTCTACTCTTTTGCGGTTGGTCGCGGATTGGGTGCGTTTGAATGAGAAAGGGGAGCAGTGGGGCCTTCAGCATACCCTTTGAGGTCGGGGGATTGTGGGCCAACGTTGACGTGTTCGATGGCCTGCACTTTTATTTTGGGGTTGATGCTAGCGGGGGTTCTAAAAGCCGTGACCCTCGTACGCGTTTGTGTGGCTGGGGTATCGCGGCGGTTGCTTT